CCCCCCCCGCACAAAATCCCACTGGACAATTTGTCCAACGAGGGACCCCACGGCTTTGCCCTTAAAGTAGCTGATTTATGTGACATCACGTAGTGGTCAGGTCTGACGAGTTACGGACGCATCGACGCCTGGCGTCGTCCCTCAGCGATACGTCGCTGTACGATATATGGATACACACCCCTCGTTCTACCACCCTATCCCTGTGCATGACGCCGCGACGTACAACGGGGTCGAATACAGTATATAGCTTAGTGGGGATACTAACTGTTGCGCAATACCTCGTACCTTGCCGTCATAACAAATAAAACAACCTAACCTTAAATTTTCTTAGCACATATTATAATAAAACGAAGTTCAGAGTGGACGTCGTTGACCAGATGGCACGCAAATATAGCGTAAAAGCAGGCAATTTTCGATGGCCTCTTCACATCTTTTTCAATATATTAGATTTGTCAGCAATAAACGCGTGGATACTATATAAACAGTGCACACCGGAGCCAAAATATTCAGGAAACAATACATGTTTAGTTTAGCCGAGGAATTAGGTGCGTAAAACAAGAAGAACATTTGCCAACGATCAGACGCTTTTGCATCATCTATAATACTACAAGAGCCAGAAAGTTGGCAAGTGGGCTACTGCAACAAAAATAAAATTAGCAATTGTTGTATATCTTGCAAAGAAGTGGTATGCGGAAAATGCACAGGCAAAGTGCAATATACCTGTAAAAAATGTACTCAATAAGTAGGATTACCCGTTAGTATTATTGTTATTATTTCCATGATATTTTTTTAAGGACTTTTTATTTCTTGATACTTTATTTAAACGTGAAGCCAAATATTATGCAATTTTGAGTTAACTCGAAGAAATCTATTTTTTAAAGAAAGTGCGTATTTTCATTCACCCGTCAATTTGACGGGTGCCGTAGAGATTAGGTATATAAGAAACGTCCGTAAACCTAGTGTTAAAAATGTTTTCTATACGACAAACGTACGGAAATTTGTGGTATCAGTGGAAAATGCCAGTGTATGCCAGACGTTGAAATTAAATATTACCTGTAGTCGTGAGTATAGGGAAAAAATTATTTTTGAATTTTCCCGCCATTCGCTTTAATTCAGATTTTATGTATTCGAGGTACGGTTCAGCTTCTTTGGCACGTGGAAACGTGATTCACCAGCTTTTCTTTCTCTTTCCTGAGGAGGTGCAGAATCTCACGACTTTCAGACAGCGGGTCGCGTACACTAGATGGGGAAAACGGTCGAATCCCTAAGGATATAGAGACAAGCAGAAGAGCCAGAGGGAGCCAAGGTGTGGCGAATGGCGATTATGGCTGGCCTAGCCTCTGGGAGCAGCTATCTTCCATCTAGAGTCTAAACTATAGATACCTAGTGCCCATGCCAGCCCGTCCCGACCCTTCTCATCCCTCTGGAGTGTACCACTGAGTACCGTAGCCTGGCAACTCCATCTATACAGGGTGTTCGAGTAGTGCCATTTTCATAGGTTTTATCGTGAAAGTTGTATTTTTTTTTGAAAATTGCGTAATTTAATGATTGAGATTATAGATTAAAAAAAATTTTCAGATATAAAATAAATATAATACTCTTAAGAAAGATCTTGAGTTTAAGTTAAAAAATTGGCTAGGTTATATAAATTAAAATTTTTGTCACCGGTACCTTTTTCGAGGACCACTCGGTATGCGAAGCAGTATGGAGGAATATGAATCGGAGAATAAAACTAGATTGCCACGGCATCGCTGCGACAGAAGCCTGCGTTTTTATGTGCGCGACAGAATGGGCCACGTCTGCGGGCTGCAATTGCGTTTCCTTCCTACTGGCAGGAGGATATATTGACACGCGCCGTTTCCAAATGGTAATAGACACCGTGGTGACTGCGTCCAATGCCCCTTCGTGAGATATAAAAAAAAATGATAGGGACGCCATATTGGAGAATGACAGATGGAAAATAAAATTTCTAACATACAACTTTTTTTTGATCTCGATAGATCGATCGAGAACAAAAAATAAAATATTTTTAATAAAATTTTTGTACACCAGTAGCATCGATAATGCATCTACGTACGTTTAAGGGTAACTTAAGTATATTTCAACCCTTAAGAAAGGGCTCTACTTGACCTTCCCTATTGCATACCTAGTAGAAATTTTTTGTAGCAGACCAGGATCGATCATTCGTCTTTGTTAAAAATTGTATAGCCCTACGAGATCCCGGAATTAAGATAAGACACTATCGAAGTATCTCGTACGAGTTTAAGTATGTCTTATCAACAGGGGTGTTCATGAACCCTCGAGCTGGTTAACAAGGGTAGTTAAGGGTGACTGAGGAAGCTCGTAAAGAATAGAAAATATCGTAACGCTTGAAAACCATAAAGTAACGGAGAACCACTGAGCACCCAGTGCTCGAAGGATGGGGATGACTGGTCACATGGCATGCTAGGGGATGATTAATGCCCACGCTCGCAACTCACCCCCAAGGCGGCGCCGACGCTTCCTACCCCTCTAATCCCCGAGGTGGGAATCAGCACTCGTTTGATACGCACAGGTGTTACGGTGCCTCCTTGAATATTTTTAGGAAAAAAAGCATACCTAGGGTATAAGAAAAAAAAAAAAAAAACATGAAATTTCAGAAAATCCCCTTTCGTCGATAAGGCCAATTAAAATTGAGGCTGTAGGGGCAGAAAGTGCCAGGCGCCGATGTTCATACGGCATACTTATATATCGGTATAACGAAGCTTTACCCTAGGCAGTTAAAGGGGATGAAAATATTCCGCAGCCCCCTACGTTCCGCAGCCTTGGATGGATCCTCGTTAAGGGTAGTTCAAGTAAAATAAGAAGAAAAGGGAAAAGCGTGCCGACGTCTCGCGACTGGCGCGCATCGGGAGTCGGTTGTGACCGCAGAGGATGCTGGGGGTTAGGTTAGTCACTGGAGGGAGGGTGGCAACCAACACTGTCGGGTCCGATGGTCGACGGAGGGTGAGCCGAGGTAACGGGGCTGAACCCCGTGGTTGGGGGTTGCTAGGCCGGTGGCGGCGGTAACGCGATAAACGGATTAACGGCGAGCTCGAACCCGAGCTCGAGGTTCGGGGGTTGGCGGGTTCAGGGGCGGAGGGACGGGATGTCACGGCATCGCACGTTTCCCCGACTAACACCCCCTTCCGCCCCCCCCCCTAACCCGGCCAGCAACCCCATCTACCAACAGCACTCACTCCACCTCACGGCTTCCCGAACCACTTCCAACCTACAGCCATCCTCGACGGTCGCGGCGCCCGCATCAAAGCTTCGCTCGGGCGGATACCGCCATCACACCACGCCACCCCACACTACATTCCCGACCATCCCTCTTGCACCCCCCATTCCCTTTCTCGTGAGGAAATTTTTTTTCCCTTCGTTTTTCCTGCACCCCGGTGAAACGCGCCACGAAATTCAGTGAGAAATTCGCTTTTTTTTTTAATTTTTGAGATACTATTCCTGCTACACAATCATATGGGTACCGCGGTATTACAGAATGGATCACTGATACCAATTCTGTATATAATTTTCTATTCTGTTTTTGTACATTTTCATACAATATGTACGATACGTATGTATATGCGTGTATTCTCGTAGCGACAATACGGTATTGTTACGATTTTTCATGTTTCGCTTGTTTTTCTAAATTCTCAAAATTTTTTTTCTCACAACTCCCAGTCACCTTTTTCGAAGAACTGCGCAGTGGATAAAGTCAGTTTTAAGTCAGACGGACCAAATTCCTTTCCGCTTGCGAATACCAGGAGCCACCAGGAGATAAACAGTCCGAAATATACTTATCTATTCACGTATATACAGTAGAGGCAGAAACATAGAAAGAAAAACAGAGATCCAAGCCAGGATACAAGGTACAGTGTTCAAACTACGAAAAAAGAAAAGAATAACCATCTACACGAGGAAGAATTAACGAGGCGGCTATCGCTATTTTTTATCGGCAGGCAAAGCCCTTAATTCCGTACGTTTAAAAGCGTCCGAAGCGGCAACCTACCGATAAAGGCTGATATCGAGAAAAACGACCTTTTACATTCGTTCTGTACATCCAACGCACGTATATCCAGCCACCGATATATATATATATATATACAATAACAGTCACAGTCGCCCATAGGTATACCCGAGTAAACCAACAGACCTAAACATATACGTAACTACTTTCTGTTCAAGCCATAGAAACGATCCACCACCCAGGCTAATTTGCAGGGATTTCAGAAAAAAAAAGGGTAAAACAGGAAAAAATAATACTAAATTCCCCCCTGAAAAAAAATGGAATCCGCGCAGGATGAGTAGGTGAGGGTGGTGGCCAATAGGTGTAGGTGAGTTTACAACGAGCGCCAGGCCAAAATTTTTCACGGGAGTCGGCCGCAGTGGTAAACAAGTCGTAACGAGGGCGCTGCCGAACCCGCTCAACATGCTGGCATGGCCAATCTCGTTATTTACTTCGTGAACGGACAAATATAATCAATCAATCACCACGTAAAGCGCATTGGGATGACTAGTCCCCGCCAAGTCTCATGTGAGTATGTATATCCATATCTGCCATGTGCAATCGTACATGCACGTCTGATACTTTGAAACTCCCTGTAACTTAATTCAAAAATTTTTTTTTTCAGTATAGGGTAATAATTACGCACTTATGTAAATATTGCTTATCAATTATTAATTTGGAATAAAAAAAATTTTGCAAATTTTTTCCAAGCCGACTGCATAATATGTAGATGTATTGTTTACCAGAAGGGCGGCTAAAGACGAGCTCATCCGAAATATACCCTATATATACATATATAAGTAATGATAAAAATATCTGTCTGCTGTGTGAACAGACCCTTAAGATATGGCTCGTTTATATACGTGCTGAACACTAAGTTACTGATATTTAAGAGATCGCGACGATTGTCTGATACTCACGGAAATTTTTCACTGAAATATTTTTATTTTGACTTTTTCTCACGGTTCGGTATAAATTTTGTGTTTGTAATAAAAGCACCCTTCGTCATTAACTAGCCCTCGCATCCTGTTGGATATCAATGGGTTGGCTTACTACCCTTATTTGAAAGTGCGTACGTGCGTGTGAGCATCGAAGGCGTAATCATGCGTATGTCTCGTTATCGTAATTTGTCACGTATATCTATATACATGTATATAAATACACTGGACACCACATATGCTCGAAGTGTGATACGGACTTTGCTGTGATGTATCCAATGAATTAAACGATAAAGGCCGAGTAATAACGCATGGCAGTACAAGATGATTTTATATACAAAACACATGAATTGTTGTACAAAAAATTTGTGAAGGGTTTTACAGGACACATTAAGTGTCAGCAAAGTTGTCAGTGAAAAAAAAAGGTAATATCATAAAGAGCACCCTTGGTGACAAGGGGTAAGAATTAAAAAATTTTTCAAATTCTCTGAAGACCAAAGTATACCGTGACGTTCGGTATGAGTAAGATGACCAAAAGAAAAGGGTAGAATAAAGGTAAACGAAATTTCATCCAAAGAAAAATGATCAGGGTAGTAAAGTAACCAGAGGAACATAAGGGTAGAAAATTTCCTGCTGTCTCAGGCGTCCAGTTAATTAACCAGAAGGACAGACCCCTAAAATGGCATCCATTTTGGAAGTCCACGTGGCACGCGACCTGATTTTTCTCAGCCCTTAAACTCAGGGACAGCGAGAATCAAGGTTTTCAGCGGAAGCAAGAAATTTCCATCCTCCAGGAAGTCAAAGGCGATTCCCGAGTACGAAGAGGGTGAAAATCCCCCGGTGTCCAGATAGACGAATAAAAAAGCATTCCAAGAGGGTAGGGACACGTGGTGTACGATATAAGGATTCCACAGTGGAAATGGTCACTCCATGTCCAGACACTCCTACACATCATCCTCTACCCTATCGTCCCTTTTTTTCCTGACTCCCTTAAATGCCACCCTCGCTCCATCCCTACCGTAAGGGACAACACCCTGTGAGACTCCTGGGTCCAGAATACTGATCGAGACCAGGTCTGGTTAACGTCCTCGTTAAACTCCCCTGCGGACGATCTCCTCCAGGACGGCGAAAGGCTCAATCCCACGGGCTTATACCGGGTCGGCAAAGTTTCCCAGGATAAGACAGAACTTAGGATGGTCGTCGAACCCCATCTTGCTAGAGATTCACCTTCATCCCCCGTAACTACAATTTTCACCCCTGACCCCTTCGACGATATATTGAACAATTCTTTTATCGCCACTGTCGTAGATCGAAGTCTCTACGTCATTCACAAGAGGTACTGCCTCCTATCTATCTGTCTCTCTTTCTCTGTTTCTACAGACGTGTTCAGGATTTTGCGAAAAGATCCAAATGCTCACGTTTCCCGTGGTACAGTCGCAAACTAGATCAGTGGGCGGACAGAATTGGCACGTGGCTTAGGAACGCATAATCAGACATTCTGTATATATATATATATATATACACAAACATACTAGATTATATGTATAACGGTACAGGGGTCTCAAAGTGGATCCACGATATGTGTGAGACTGCAGGAGAAGAGAGGTCCAGGAGAGGAGAAAAAAGAAAAAATAATATAAAGGAAAAAAGGTGGGAGAGTCTGAAAGGTAAGAAGAGGATTGACGCCCGTGACCTCACGGTCGCGTGCGTGTCTACCCAGACTTATCTTTCTCTTTGTTTTCACATGGTTTTCACTCTCGTACGTCTGTCTGACTGTCGGCTCATCCTAAGAATGGTGCACGCCCCATGACCAATGGTAATGGGCACTAAAGTGCCACGTATGTAATAACTGTATAAGTACCCAAAGAAAACTGTAGGACCTTGATCTGAGTCACGTGTCAGAAACGCTCGATAACCCCATAAATAGAAATTTCCCATAATGATTGTGGCGAAGGGCTTGGGCGTGTATAAAATAAAATAGATAAAACTAATCCAATAGTCACCCTAAATTATACTCTGCTATGAGATATTTTTTTGTAAAAATCAAGAGTCTGAAAAAAAATATTTTGAAAAAATCATTACTATACGCATATAACCTGGCATACTGCTAGAAGACGCTGGCAGCTTGAAATCGAGTGCCGGAAGACTGAATGAGAGTATAACCTTAAATAGATAACTTGGTGAACATCTAGAGCCTTGAGATATGACAGTCGTTATCACTGATACTTATCACTGGTGTTATAAGATAATATATCACACGTATAACTATAGTCACACCCGTTATAAGCTGAGCGTTAAATATCGTACAGTTTGGTCAGTACATCCGGTCGCGAAGATCAGATAGGTTATCCAGTAAAAGATAAGATAATTTTGTATCTTGTGCGTTTTCATACTCAGTCCGGATAGTCTGGTCAGTCAGATCAGACTGACCAGCAGTCACAAAGGTGTATACGCACGCACTCGGTATGGTTTAACGTGCCTCTACGGGTTCACGGTGTGCAGGTTACATAGGTGAATTATAATATATTGCCACGTATCACCGCCACGCAACCTGAGCCTCGTCGGCGTACAGAGGGAACGTTAGGCACCGGCTCATTGGTCGCAGCGCATAATTAATGGGGGCATAAACCCTGGGTGACGTTTGTATGCAAATGCCTGCGTGTACAATTCCCTTTCCTCTAACTGTACACGTAGGACACACCTCCCTCGGGCGAGTGGATGACGCCATTTATTTAATTTAAAAAATTTTTTTTACTAGAAAAATTTTCATAGCTAACTCTCATCACGAATTATCTCGACCGTCATCCGGAGGGGTTTCCAGTTTTATCCCGAGTACACCTAGACTTTTTAGACACTGGGTATACGAGTAAAAACGTGTGGAAAAATCTGTGACTGAAAGTATTCAGGTTCTGCGAGATATTTTGGTACTGTGTATAGTCGAATAAAGGAATTTGACACTAGTAGCAGTGAAATGAAAACGGTGTTAAAAGTCCCTTACCAAGGCTAGCGATTACGTAGAAATGAATCCGATGTAAAATTCGCAGACACTGGGTATAAAATTATAAAAATGCGCCAAGCCTGGAGAGTCGAGTAGTCCAAGCCCGAGTATCGTGGGAGCTGGGACCGGCAGTGGCACGAGGACCATTAATGATGCATAGCCCGTTGGCGTTAGCCTGCCAGTCATAATGACCCAGCCGACTCGTTGGGTGACTGGCTGGCTCGCTAGTCGACTGGCTGACTGGCTGACTGGGCTCTCGCTGAGCCCTCGTGTTGAAACGGGCCAGCCGTTTCAATAGCTACGGCCGCTGCTACCTCACGGCTGTAAATGGCGCACACGTTCCCAGTCGCTGTCATTATCCTTACTTTTGGCTATGGACGTGTTCGTTGGTTTTTCCCTATGACGTCACGGGCTTGAAATTCCCAGAAGCCTCGACCAATAGCGTTCCACTTTTGGATCTGTCGACCAATCGGATCAAATATAACGTAAGTCAGTGCACTCGAATTGGCAACGCAATCCTCCCAGAGCAAAATATCTGTATAAACTAGAAATCTCAGTAAAAAAATATTTATCTAATTCAATAAAAATTATGAAAATTCGGCATTACCTAAATAACGCATCTCCTGGACTTAACAGGTAGTTGATACCGTCGCGGATGGTTTAGCTGGATTACAAATTTCATGCGCCACGTTTAAGGGTTAACGTTGGATATTATTGGCATTACGTGCTCCGACGGTCTCGGTCCGCTAAAGCGCGGAAACCCCGTTCAAAATAACAGCCATATTTTCCCATACTGTGCCGCAAAGTAGAATAGCCGATACATTAAACAGAACAAAGAGAATAACAGAAGTACGTAAAAGAGTACCAATGCATAAGAATCCAGTAAATACAATATATATATAAAAATACAGTAAAGTCCATATAAGGCCTACAAGAGCGTCACTAGCAGAGAGGAGCCATAAGGCAGTGCGTGGGTACGTCTAGAATCGTAGTAGCGTCCCGACGCCCGCGCGTCCTTGTCGATGTCGAAAGTGCTCGGCAATGGCCGAGCGGCAAAACGATTAATCTTGGCGACGCGAGGCGCCGATGCGTGGTGGCCTGCGCCGCGGCGGTAACCAGCACGGGTAAAAGGCGTCGCAAACAGGCAGTCACTACCATAAAATATATAGATATACACGATGCACGTATCTCTAAGATTCCTCGGCAGCTGTCGTCGTGACGCTCCTTATCGAAAGCGTCGCGCGTGCTCGCTCGGCCCCGCCAAATAGAGACTCGCCGTCTCTTTAGACTTTAGCCGACTTTAAGACACTCGCACGTACGTACGGTATCTATGAGGCGTCGCCTCTATTAAACCCGTACACCTATGTCCATATGTATTTCGACGAGGTGGGACGCCCGCCGTGCATTTGGCTATGTAGAAGCGTCGATGATTAGCAGCGTATACGAGCATCGCTCTGAAGAGGATTGAAGAGTGTATGGTGTAGAAGAGGATGGAGGCTGAGTGAAGGAGAAAGAGAGAGAGAGAGAGAGAGAGAGAGAGAGATGAGAGGGAAGAGTACCGGCGTTAATGAGCCTCGTCTCTTCTTGTAGTGGGTAATGTCTCCACGCCGACGCCGCCGTCGCTCCTATCCCACCAACACACCAACCTCACAGGGACTTCGTAGCGGCTACGATACTCGGTATCGCACAGACGCCACACACAGCCCTTCTCGAAACACCCGCGTGATCCAGCAATACACAGTAAAGTAGGCAGTCAGGCGCGCCAACGTTTCAGCACCGCAAGCCGGCCTTGCCAGTTCCGCCTGCCTACGTCTCGCGTTTCGCTGAGCGCGCCGGGCGGTACACGGTGGCGCGAAAAAACGTGACCGCCTGTGTTTTGTCTATTTTTTTTACTTTTTTTTTTCTTCAGCCCACCGTCCTGACTCTTCGCTCCGGAACGTCTAGCTGTGCTCTATGTTTGTCTCTCTTTTGGTTTCTTTGTCTTTGCCTCTCTCTCTCTCTCTCTCACTATGTTCTGTATGTAGGTATATATATATATATATATATATATATATATACGGACTCTCGTAACTTCTCGACAGTCCCGTCGCACTTTACGACTCTCAACTGTACGGCTGAACGATCGAGGCTCCTGAGCCGTTTGCTCGCTGCTCGCATCTTCGCTGCGAGACAAAATAGCCTCGCGCCTTTCGCCTCCTCTGCTTCCCGTACTTTCCGTACCTGACCGGCTGTCCGCCGACTTGAAAATAATGGCCGTGCCGTTCGCGGTTGGACGCACGCACGAAGGCACGCATTTGGTAAGCTTTACTGTGTATGAAATGGCCGAGTAGTGGTTAGCGTAGTCGTATACGAGGTTAAGTGTATAGGTAGGAGAGACCGTCGGTACGCGACTGAGATTTTTCGCGAGTAAAAATATCAGCGAGTTTTTTGAGATACAGTGATAGTAAAAAATTGGAAAAATTTTGGAGATTTAATGACTTTGCAAATTAATAGACCCTGTAACAACTTATGATTATTGAACGTCGATTTTTTTCTTTTTTGCTGTCAAGTCTCAATCTTCTTGGTATACTTTGACATTTTTTCGTGCATTCAACTGACGTCTTTGTTTTCTTCGGATTCCAAATCGACCTCGGTACCTTGCGCAGTGTCAGGATGAACCCTACTAAATAGGATAGTCTCTGAACGACCTTGGGTACGTATTATCGTAGACTTTTCTGGTATTGTAAAACGTTGATGCGAACATTGAGAATCATCAACGACGCCAAGCGCCGCTGCATCTTCCCCGTGGCGCAATACCCGTCTGAAGGTGAACTTTTCGCTGAGCGGTCGAAGTCCGGGTCATACCGGACACCTTCTCCTAGTATCTGGGTAGAGAGATTTAGAGTGCTGGGCGTAGGAATGTAATCGTGGAACAGGACAAATCCTCGAGGTCGAGGATTCCTGAAACCAAAAGGAATTATTGGAATATTTCTAGTGGGGATACGACACTGAGTACTTCACCTTTTTATTTCCTTTCTTGTTCATCTTTGAGGTTAACCTTACGTGATAGGACAAGCAATGACGATTCGTCACGAGGACTCCTTCGCGAAATCGGTCAATGCCAGTCACGGCGAAAGTAGCTATATGTGTTTGTGTATGTATATATTAATCTATGTATATAAGAATCCTTCAGAAACAGCCGCCATATACCAAAAGTTGTATCCTCCTGCGTTTTCCGGATGCCAGTCTTGACGTCCTGTCTGCCTACATACAGTATAGGCTGTCTGTATCTCCTTGTACGTCTTGACTCTTGAGTCACCTTGTATAGCATCGCACAGGTACACTTGGTTGGTAGGTAGGTAGGGTACGGCACATTCCGTCGGCAAGGCAAGCGTGGCTCGACGCCGCAATACGTGTCTATCTGGTGGCCGCCGTGCACGTTCCTGGTGTGGGAGAGATCCAAGCTCACCACCTACGACGTGTCCAGAAAGTTTTCGATCGTAAATCAGACTAGGTGATGGAGTCCGATTCGTTGCACGGGTAGGGCGTCTCACGAGCGTCATAAACGAGCCAAACGATTTTGGCGTCCTGGATGGTTCTTGGTATGGACGTGGTACATCCTGTAGAAGTCACTGCTGCCTCTGTGTAACTATATATATATAAGGTGTGATAGTGTATAAGAGACAAAAACAAACGAACCGGCTAACCCGACGGCAGAGTCTTCCTTTGCTATGCGTACCACCCGGGTAAACATAATCGAATGACCGACCGGAGTGGCTCCCACGTCCGTGGGTACCCGGAATTTCGCATATCCTGAGCACAACAACCAGTCTGTAAGAGGGTTTCAGGAAAAATAAGCTAGAGAGAGAGTTGTATACGACAAAAGAAGTCGGTATGGGTATTAGAAACGAAAACGTGGAAGTGGAGGAGAGCGCGCGAATCGTGCAGGGGAGAGAATAAAAATAGGAACAAAAAATAAGGACAATGTCACGAGGACAGCAGGAATAGAAGAAGAAGAAGAAGAAGAAGAAGTGATAGAAAAGGAGTTGAGTGGTATAGCAAGAATTCTTAACGCAGTGACAACCGGGTAGATAGAAGGGAAGAGAGAGAAGAGGTTCACGAGTGTAGTCCTCCCTCTCTCTTTCTTTCTCGCACGAGAGTGCCCTCGTCATTCCCGAGCACACGTACAATCCCTCGCACGAACAGAAACGCTTGCGTGGGTAGCGCACTTCGCGGCGCGCGTGCCGACGAGGACCCCCAGACCCTCGGAGCCTCGTAAACCCACCAAGCCTTCCCGAAGCCGTCGTCAACGGCGTCGTCCCCCGTCGACCCTCCAGCCTTCCACACGCCGCTTCAGCCTCGATGTCTCTCACTCCCTCTATTCCATTCCTCTTCGTCACTCTCGTTGCGCTTAATCGTCTCACTCCTCCTGGCGTCATCTCATTCTGTCCTGGCTGGCTGGCTCTGTGCGTCTGCATGTTGGATCGTCACCCTAGCGGCCGCCGCCTCGAGGGCTCATCGCCTCCGACGAGCCAAGCCGCATGGCCTCCTCACCTTCTACCCAGTTCGTAACGCACGTATACCAACCCAGCGAAACTCACGCATACGTTCCGGCACTGACTGCCGCCTTCACGGCTCTCACACACGTTACGTAGCCGCAGGCAAGGGCGCCTGTGAGCGTAAACGCGAGCGCAACCGTCGTATCCCAGCCTCGTCACACCACGCCTCGCTTCGACTCGCTATCCGGCACTCGTATAGCATTCAATCCCCCCTCTGTCCCACTGCACCCCCAACCCTGGATGCTCTCTCCGATTCTCATCCCATAGTCCGTATAGTCCTCCTGGCTCCACGGCTACCCTGTCCCACGCTCACGCCTATCCATGCCGGCTAGCCGCCTGGCTGTCCTCCTGTTAGCCCCACTCCGCACCCCTCTCCCCACTCGACCGAGTCCCTCGTGCTTCGACGGCAGCGATGCTCTTCTCCCCACTCCTCACGGCCCAATCGCCCACCGTCCCCCTCCCCCCCCGTACTCCCCTGCGGCCGACCGGCCAGGCTAGCCATCCGACAGGCTGCGTCGCTGCCGAAGCCGTTTCGGCCTGCTTCGGCCGCCCGGCTCTCATCCTACCGTTTTGAGCGATCGCTTCTCTTCCTCCTCCATGCTTCCTCCGCCCCACCAATCCCCTAGTCAGCGACGCCGCCGCCACGCCACTCGCTCGCTCACTGAAGAGCCGCCCGCACCCGTTGGGGGCCTCACAGTCCGTCACCGCCGCCCGTGGTGCGAGCACGCGGACGCTCTATCGCCTTGAGAGACAGAGATACACACTAGCTGTATTATACTCTTGGCATATACGCGCGACATCCTTTCTGCATTTTAGCCACTCGAGCGATTCTCCCGGCTCTCAGTAAATATACGGGAAAATATCCAAGACGTATGCGGAAGGGTCGTTCAGTGTGGATTCGTCGTGAAGATTTGACAGCTCGTTCTAGTTTTTCTTTTGGATTACGCTCTTAGCCAATATCTCGGCGACAGTCTGCGCCTCTCGCGGGGCAGACTTTCAAAACGGAGGGATAGACTGATACTTTTCCCGCCTTCTGTCAGCAGACGTGAATACAGACATTTCCTTTATTGTTAGTGGTGACTCCCACGGATGGACCTTGACATTCGAGTACGTGCTAATATCACGTCGTTACCAGCAAGCAGTACTGACGTTATCTTGGATACTTGTATTTAGTATCCTTCTCCGTGAGACTGTCTCGGTTACTTGTAATTACAGTGCTAATAAACTGTGCACCCAAGATCACCGTGTAATTTCATATCGTTGAGTCTCTTGGATGGTGATAAGGAATTTTATTTCTCGACCAAGGAACGATATCTTTAAGCATACCCTGTCCTGCACGACCTTGTCAACCCTCTGCGTCTATCTCCAAGTATACTCAGTGACTCGGTCTCAAGTTACACGACACGTGCGAACCTTTCTAACTTCACATCGTGCTCGGGCACGTATGTAACCTATGCACGTACGGGAGTGACAAGTGGTCGACCGAAGGCGTGATACCCACGTGGCGCCACAAAGTTGCGTCCGCGGTTTGAACTTTTGCGTACTTCAAGTGTGGCAGTGTGTGCGTGTCTGCCTTGCTAGGGTGATGTAAACAAACAAGAAAAAAAGGAACAATATTATCGACAGAGAACAGTGATATCAATTCAAATTGTAAACCCGTGACAGTGTTGGTGAGTCTCGACGTGTCTGTGACAAGTTAAGAGTACACGTGGTTAGTGACTAAAGTTTTTGAGCAAAACTTATATACCTTTTTCAAAGTGTCACAATTTTGTGGTACGCAGATACAAAGGAAGTTCTTTATATGGAACTGATGCTCTAGAGACTGAAAAGCAACAATCCTCCTGGTAGTACGGTGGTGAAATCGGTGACCCGTCGTAAAATTCGTAGCACGTTAAGGGCTACCGAAACGCAATGCTGAGAGTCTCAGCTGTTCAAATAGGAAGGGTGAAGCGATCGTCCTTGTCGAAGGCCGCGTCGGCCTGCTAAAATGACTGCGCGTCTACACTCGCTCAGGCACCAGGAGAAGAAATCCGCTAGTGGAAGTCACAGACAACATCAGCAGCAGCAACAGCAACATCAGCAATCGATTCATCAGGGACCAAGTCCCGCGCCTAGTCCCAGCCCCAGTCCCAGCCCGAGCCCAAAACATTCGGACGGACGTAGAGTAAGTAAATTTTAATATTTCAAGTTTACGTCAGTACATTAATTTTAAAAAATTTCAATCCTCATATTGATTAAAAAAAAAAAAAGATTTCATCAATATCTTATACCTGGTATCACGGATAAAATTTTAGGGACTATCGTATGTCGTTCTGAAGTATCTCACACGATTAACAGGACGTTTTGACGTTACCGATAAAACTGTCGGATGTCGTATTTATCGTGAAGATCCGGCAGATTTCCTTAGGTAGCAACGAGAGGCTTGATTAATGATCAGGGAACCGCCTAGCGAGTGCCGCCCGATCTATCCTGATCTGGTTGCCAAAGAAGTAGTATAGGTACAATAGGTGCCAGCCTGTCAGGCATCAAGAAGGGTGGGTGGTGCAGGGAGAGCGGGACTTGCTACTACGAAATGGGAATGAGGAAAAAAAAGAGAGGGTCTTGATCGAGAGGAATCAATAGTTTAATGTAAAAGAGAGTTAATGATCGGTATCGGGACGCTTTCTGCTCAGCCATTTGCGTTCCGCAACGTCACGGCCTTGCACAGAGCGAAGGGTTGGTCTGCCAGAAAAGGGTTGGAGGGGTTGGAAAATGGCCGGATAAAGGGTTAGTGAAGTTGGTAGTTGGGCGATTCGAGCGCATTCAACATTTTCTGTCTTTCTTTACCACCCTGTTACATTTGACTTTTCATCCCTCAATGTCTCTCTGAATTTCTAACCCTCATCCCCTAACCCCACCAAACCCATTTGTATCCCAATGCCGCACGATTTAAACTCACACTATCCGTGTGCGCCGCGCGTCGACCCTCTACTGCTTATTCAACCCTTGACATCGGACCCATCAGCGAGCTCCAGTGACCGTAGTTTAGGGGTTGGATTATAAAGGGTAGGATCTTTGAATAAAACCCATGGAAATACGAGATACCGTCTTCGTCTTTTGCTCTGGTGCTTCGCTGCTATGGAATTCGAGTGGACTCGTATGGAAATTAGAACTACGGAGATGAAATCCCCTTACGTGTAGTTTCTAGAAATCAGGATGTTATAATTTGTTAATTAGAGTATTAGTCACATATATTATGTATGGTGCAGTATACAGGGGTGTTGGTAAAATTGAACTCACAACGCATATCTTATAGTGTTAAATCTTCGCAAACCCTTTCAGCACTGGTACTGTACGTTATGACATGTATTTAACTCTGATATGTATATAGACACATATGATATAGAATTCATGCATCATCAGGATCCTTATGGCGGCAATTTATAGTAATTGGATGTATTTACGAGTAGTTATCACATCGTTTAAGCATCGCGCATGCGCGGTTATCAGAGATAGATGACGTAGACAGTTACCTAGGGTTGACTGTGCGTAACGATATATTTTTTTCAAATTTTTTTATCATAAGTAGAAACAATTTTTAAAAATATTCTTATGATACGCAAACCCGAAAATTTACTCTTTGACCTTATATCAGAAGGTTCGACGTTTAATTTCCATCGTTTCCGATTGAAAATGCGAATCGCGTGATTACACGCGTCACGGATGAGGAAGTCGTGCGTACCGACGTGATACACTGGCGAGTCTCGTTTATGTACACACCCACGTATCAGCGACATGTGCGTGCTTCGAGAAACAGAATGAACCGAAGATATATATATATATATATAGCAGATAGTATAAGAATTAATGTAGAAAGAGAAGGTAAAGTAATTGACGACCTTCTAAGGCGTTCCTGTCGTTTCAGACACTCCTGTATCGTCCACGTGCGGTACGAATGCAGATAGTATAAGAATTAATGTAGAAAGAGTACACACCCACGTATCAGCGACATGTGCGTGCTTCGAGAAACAGAATGAACCGAAGATATATATATATATATATAGCAGATAGTATAAGAATTAATGTAGAAAGAGAAGGTAAAGTAATTGACGACCTTCTAAGGCGTTCCTGTCGTTTCAGACACTCCTGTATCGTCCACGTGCGGTACGAATAATCTGAACACAGCAAACTGTCGAAATACGCCAGCCGCGCATAACGATATTTCATTGTGGACAGTCTTCGTGTAAGTTGGGTGAAATATATGGCAGTTACTCGTTACCTGACTGTAGGCGTACTCTATCTTCCTCCTCGGTCAAGATAGCCAATCATTGAATGAGAAAACTGCGGAATGCCTGGTAGCACCGACGTCTATTCGATGAGTCGATAAAGAAGAGACCTGAAGATCGCTACCAGTAGGGCCGAATAATAAAATATAAAATTGAAATTTCCAATTGTTCAAGCCCAGTCTAGTGTAAAAATGTCAAATTCCTTGGAACGTGCATAAAATATCTGGACCGACTTCCCGGTGGATGATGAGAGAACGACCAACCCCTTTCAAAGGCACACCCTCGGGTAGATGCTCGGCCAAGGTGTAGGCGATTCGTTTCTTCGTCTTTCCAGGTGGAAGGTCTCCCGTGCAAGGAGAGTCTTTCTTCATCCACCTCCTGAGAGTCGTCGCAAGAAGATGACTCCGGGTAAGTCCCGAGGAGAAAGGGACGCCGGGCTAATGAGGGCGTCGCTGGGATGGAGTACGGGGTCATAACGGGGTTGAGTGGCTGGAAGGTGGACATGGCAGCGAGAGAAGCTACTCGGGAGTCTCGCGGTTTTACTGAGCGTCTACGACGCTCGGCGTCGCCGTCACACGCCAGAAAGCTTAATTGACGGTACTTAGCCGAAGACGACCGAGACTGCAGGGCCTTAATTACCTGTCGTCGGATGCGCGCCGGCGTCTCGCTAGCTCCCGGCATCGCGACGCTTCACGAAAATTCAACGATGTGAACCCAACTGCATCTCTAGCTGGATGTCTTCCTGTCTATCCGCCGTCTTATTTCCTTCCGGTTCGTTCCGCTCGTTTCATCTGTTATCTCGTACATAGATGACGAATAGAATAAAGGATTCTCGACTTACACGAGACTCTTTAACCACCCGTTATAATCTGGTGAAGAGTATCTAAATGCGGTTAACCCTGTCGATGATTTATACACCCAGCTCTCTCTTTCTCTCTCTCTCTCTCTCTCTCTCTCTCTCTCTCTCTCTTTCTCTCTACATACATACATACGCAACTATATACAGACATAAAAGCAGCAAGATAACGAAGAAATCACCGGTATACCTCGACGCATTAACCAGAAGCCGTTAAAGAGACAGCGTCGCGTGGGCGTCGCTCGCGACGTCCCGATAAGGCATCTACCGTGGCAGCCACGCCACCCGGTGGAAAATTAGAGCTCGCACTGGACACCCGCGCACATGCCCATATGAATCTCTCGTCCCGATACCAAACCGTAGTAAATACCATTAGCACGTATAGGCAAGCGGGAAAAACATTTTCGTCGGCGAGTTTCCTATCTACGTTAATATCATGTTCAATCTTTGTTATCGTCTATGGCCGTGCGCCATCGGCAAGTAAATAAGGTACCTGCAGGAAGGCGATGCGCAGTGAAGTAAACGGTGCGTGTGTGGCGGG